TTCCCTTCCCTTCCCTTCCCTTCCCTTCCCTAAATAATCTAAACTGCCTGTTGATCTTTCTGGCCTCCCGGAAGCCCCTGAGCGAGACAAAATAATTGCCAAGTTTCCCCGCGAAGGGGGAACAAACCTGCCACTCACTCCCGCATTTAAGTCTATTCCTTAAAGGAGCCCTTTTGGGGTTGGGGCGGATCCTTTGCCTGGACAAAGCCGGGAACCATCTGGCATGAAAAAACATCACCACTCACCAGAGCGAGCCCGACCGGAAACTGATGCTGGAGGCGAGCGGGCAGACTAAAGAGACCCTGGGAATCCAAGCATTATTTGAATCCTTGGCTAAGCTGGCCTTTTATTTAGGTTATCCGGGGTACACCCACCGCTCTCGAAAGAGACCAATAGGGATTCGAGCGGTTTTGGCAGACTTTGGGTGGTGTCACGCTGGAAGGACTGCTTCCCCCTTCTCCCCCTAAATTCCTCTGCCAATTTTTTCCAGTTGTTTGGCACAGAAGGGGCTGGAAAAGGCCGGGGCTCAGAAGCTACAGAAGCAGCAGGAATGAGAGAGAGAGAGAGAGAGAGAGAGAGGAGGCCAAATCCCTCTGCTGATGGGTGGATCAAAATCAAATAAATAAGTAGAGCAATCCATAAACCGTATAAAGCTGGGGGGTGCATGAGCCCCCGAAAGAGAAGGAGGCAGGCGTCGTCAAGGGGGCTTGCCACTGGGGAAAAAAAAAACAGGAAAAGCTCTCCCGGTGCCCTGCCTCCTGTTCCACTTGCAGTGGACGGAAATTCAGAAATAGTGCAAAGTTGGGGAGCAATAAAATCAAAAGCCCTTGAATTGGATTTATGAACTACACGAATGCTGGTCACGAGACAAGTTTTATTAACCTCAGGGAGAGACCCGTGGTGCTTTTAAGGGTTCCTACAAGCAGGATCTGGGGATGGCGAGACACGGGATGCATCCATGCACCTTCCAGGTTGGCTAAGGGAGGCCGGATCTCTAGGTCCACCCATCTGTTTCTTCCTTTGTTAGGGCTTCCATCCTTCCCCCGTCTCCATCCTGAGCACCCCCCGACCAAGCCCGTCCATCTTTTCTCGGCGCTGACCCCTTTATAGCGGTCCCGTTTGCAAGAATCGCGCTACACGCGGGGTTGGACCACAGGGGCATCTCGGAAGTACAAGTGGAAAAAGGTGAAGGCCGCCGCGACGAAGCGGATGTACTCTTCGAAGTTGACCTCGCCGTCTTGATCCGTATCCAGCAGGGTGAGCATCTCTTCGAAAGCCCTGCCTTTGATTTGCAGCTAGGATATAAGAGAACAAAGGGGGGGAGTTTGAGAAGAAAAGCAACGATAAAAACCATCGGGATTTGCGCAGCCCGCTAAATCAGAGCCAAATGGGGTTGGGAGCTTGGCGGCCTTTTGGGAGTACCTGGCCGCCGTTCAGGGAGGTTGAGGGAACGAATCACGTTAAACCAGAAGGTTTTTTTTGTTTCTTTGCTTGCTTGTTTATGCAAACCTGGTTTATGGTGTATTAATTTGGGATTAGAGAGACGTTGCAAACCTCGCTGCTGAGTTTCGCACAACCAGCCCTCATGGTTTCCCTTGTTAAAATCAGAACCAAACGGTTGTATTTGAGCTGCTTCAGGACTGGGGTTCAGAGCACCTCTGGTTTATAGAGAACTATCAGTTTCAAAGCATCTTCTTTTAAAGGACAAGAGTACATTTTTTCCCCAATCTTTAATTCCATACTAGCTTCAGAATTGTTTTGCTGTGCCTACGAAAGCTTGCACAAAAATTCATATAAGTGGTCGTGCCTGTTTTTCCTAACGTTGAGCTCTTTTAATCAGTATTTCTAGAATTTGCAAGCAAGGTATAACCTTGGGACGGTAGTCTTGATGAATATAGGCCAGTGCGGACTCTTTTTCCTATCATCCTTTCTCCTTCTTTCCTCAGAGAACCAGGTTGCAAATGTTAGGAGAAGTACAGGTAGTCCTCGTTTAGTGACTGCCTCATTTAGGAACCGTTCACAGTTATGACGGTGATGAAAAAGTAACTTTACAACCAGCCCTCACATTTAGGATCTTCACGGGTCTGTAAAGCAAAGGAAAGCTGAAGTCAGATAATAAGCACAGTCACGGTTTTGCTTCGCTTAACAACCGAGTTGCCGGTCCCAGTTGTGGTCACTCAATGAGGACTCCCTGTACCCATCCACGAGGGATGTGTTAGGTTTTGTGCATTGGTGTCGAAATGCCAAATGAGAAATTAGGATGCTCTGAAAGACCAACTAGCTGAATTTCTCCTTCTGTTGACCTCAGAGGACATTGGGAACGGATGGGACGTGTACCGTTTGCAGGCTCGGAAGTTCGTTCTGCAGGAGGCTCCGTAACTCGGCTTTGCTCAGTGTGTTTCGGTCACCTTCCTTCCGGCAGTAGCGTTGAAACGTGCAAACCACCTCCCCCAGGGCCTGCTCCAAAGTCCGCAGTTGCTCCATCACGGATCCAAGTGGTCCTGCAGAAACCAGAAAATATATCGTCGTCCTCCAACCTGACATTCCCCAGCCTTTCTCCTAAGTCTCCTGACTGTGCTTATTATCTGACTTCAGCTTTCCTTTGCTTTACAGACCCGTGAAGATCCTAAATGCAAGGGCTGGTTGTAAAGTTACTTTTTCATCACCGTCATAACTGTGAACGGTTCCTAAATGAGGCAGTGACTAAACGAGGACTACCTCCTAAGTCCCACGTTCAGGTGGCCATCCAACCCATAGATTCTACTGTGGCCCAAAGTACCTTTCTTGGAAATGGTGGAACTAGAGGTGGGGAGTCTACTAAATTTAATTCTGTTCCATTAGGACTCGTTCGAGTGGATGACGTTCCTTCCTCTGCGGGCGTTGTGTTAGCTCGACTGACTGATCGATCCAATTGATACGCTGCCCGTCTCACTGTATAAGTGACTCTAGGCGGCTTACAAAAAAGAAAGCTATAAAAATCTTTTAAAAAAATATCAAAGTTAAAAAACAGGAGAGAGCTTATACTCGTTCCAAGGACTCCCCATTAAATCCAAACAAGCTCCAACAGATCCGAAAACCCACCTAATAAACCCAACCCCAGGGAAATCCCGCTTTAAGAACAGAAGGGATACGTTAACCTTTAAGGGTTAACCTTCAAGGCACCGTGAGATTTCTTTTCAAGGATTAATCCCTCGCGATAAAAATCAGAACGCTGCCTTTTCTGCGAATCTTTCAGAGGCATTTTTACGTTTTTACTTTTGATGGCACTGACTTTCGAAGACCCTTTCAGAAAATCTCTCCCAGAACCGTGCACCAAGAAGAACCTCGATTTATTTTATTTTGCAGTTTTCATTCCCAGTTTTGTTCCAACCCACCCCATTCTAGGGAGAACCAAACGCTTTGGAAACAGGAATTGTCCCACATGCTGTTGTACGGGGCGCTGAGTTGTGATTCACCGAAAACTACACAACGCTCACTTCCCCCCCCTTTTTTTTTTAGCTTTAAAGCGCCCCTATTTATTTTGGATTCTTTTCGCTCCCTCTCCGAAACAAAACTGGCACACCTGATGTACGGCAGCCATCAATAGGAACGATTTCTCCCTGCCCACCCCCTTTTTTGGGGGAAAAAAAATCTATTTCTCTCTCTATATTTATATAAACATACCAGCCGGGATCACCCACTTTAAGGATGTTCACAACGGTGAATTCATTAGGAAAGTTGGAAAGCCAGTGGGACAGATTTCAACCGGCTGCTTCCGGCAGCTCGCTCGAGGAGCCCACCTGTTCATTGAGTGTGTACGAGCAGGTTCTGCAAATGTGCAGGATGATCGGTTCCACCCATCCTTTTCAACACACCCCGTCCAGATCCACACCCAACGTTTGTCTTGCACTCTGAAAATGCTGGGCCGACTGTAGGACATTCCTCCCGTTGGGAATCCCAACTCAAAAGGTGCGGGTGGAGTTCCCCAGTCTTTGGACACAAGACCCAAAGGTTCATGCCTGGTTTGGGGACCACCCTGGTGCAAAAGGTGGCTTTCGCATCGAAGGAGGACGCGGAATGGGATTTGGGGATGAGAAATGGGATTTCTGCGGGGGGTGGTTTAGCAAACGTTAAGGCTCAACTGTCGACTTTCGGATTCATCCTTCTGGGGTGTGCTCGGCTTTTAAAAAGACTCGTTTCCAAGTTCCAAAGCAACCCACGACGTGGTAGAAACTGTTGGCTCCGGACTGCAAATCCCATCATTTGGCAGGGGAGAACGGGCAGGGTAGTTGAGCTCCCTGGAAGACGCCAGGTTGGGGAAGACGGGCACAAGCCGACACGCTTATTGCGCGGTCTGCAGATACAACCTTCTGCGTCTTGCCCCTCTAAGTACGGGTTGGTCTTCAAGATGCCTCCAGACCACGGTGGAGGTCACCCCCGTTTTAGGTTTTGGCTGCAACCCCCTGCAGGTAAATACGTACAGGGCTGCGGTCTTAAAATTAATATGTATGTAGTCTTCAGATTGGGCGTTTTCCAGGTTCTAACCAAAAACCTGGGAATCATCGTGTTATGTCAGACGTTTCAAGCAAGGTGTTTGTTTGTTTTTTGACAAAGTGATAAGTTTGGGAAACTTAAAACTCCCAAAAACTAACAAGAACTACTACTACTACTCCATTATCATCATCTTCATCCTTTTCTTCTCCTGCATCATCTCCCCCTCCTCCTCCTCCTCCTCTTCCTCTTCTCTTTCTCTTCCCCCTCTGCCACCACCATCTTCTTCATCCTCCTCCTCCTCCTCCTCCTCCTCCTCCAACATCATCATCATCTTCTTCTCTTCCTCCTCCTCCTCCATCTTCTTCG